GAAAGAAAGAAAGAAAGAAGGAAGGAAGGAAGGAAGGAAGGAAGGAAGGAAGGAAGGAAGGAAGGAAGGAAGGAAGGAAGGAAGAAAGACTTGGTACCCCGTAAATGTTATGGTCTAATTGAGGAGTTGGATACTCGGACATTTCTGGAAATTAATGGAAGATCCTCAAGGAAACTGGGTTGTGTTGGTGGTGTATGTCTAGCGTCTCTCAAGGGAGTAGTTTGTGTTAAAACATTTTAAAAATACTTGTATAGATTGTTATAAAGTAACTTAAGCCCATATTATTTTATTTACTCTCCATGTCTCTGTTAGATGAGTAGTATCAATCCTATTTTACAGGGAACTGAGATTCATAAAAGGAAGGGATATGCCTAAGGCCATGTGGCTACAAGTGGTGATGTAAGGCCCCAGCTCAGCGCAGAGGCATTTACTACACTCCATGTTTCCTTCTGGACCCAGTATCTACTGCACTTCTTCCATCTACAATGTACCCAAGAGAGTTTTATTTCATTTCTTATTGATGGGTGGGAGCTGAGCTGCTTACTGTGTTAGTATTTATATTGCTTTTCACTTAAAGATGGGTCAAGAAGAAAGCTTTTTTTTAAAAGCCACCAAAACATTGTCTAACACTAACCCTATCTATCCTGTAGCTGTTGCAGTCTAGAAATGATAAATGGCATTATCGAGACCCTTGATGAAGGTTACTTCTATGAATGTCTCCCCTGACCCACTATCAACTGAATTGCATTCAGCATTTCTGCTGACCACAGGGAAATGCAAAATGGGCATTCTATTTGCACACTAATTTTACTGAGCCCCTGCGTCTTCATAAAATGATAACGTAGGGCTAATAAAAATCAAGCATCTCGGGTGCTAATATAAGCAAATGTTGATGCAGGCAGGTAACAAATTGCTTTGTCATTTAGGAGGCCGTAAAAGAGCATTATAATCATCTTTAGGCAAAATGGATGGGTCGTCTTTGCTTAGCTTTTAGCTTTCATTTGCAAAATCAATTTAAAGTAATGTAGCAGCTCTGAGGTGGTGTGACATGGGAGCCCCCCCTCCCTGCACACGCATTCTCCCACTTCCACTCCCGTCCCCCCTCCCCTCCCTCCACCTGCCTGTCACTGAATCCTCAGCTTCTGTGCAAAGCAAATTAAATATAATCTTGGTTGAGGAAACAAAGAAGATGAAGGAAGTATGCTTGAACAAAAATCAAGGTGGGAAAGAAGCTGAACAATAAGACCACAAACAAGAGCCCAAGAAGGGAAGGCAACCCTGGGTAGATTTTTGGCTGTGATATGAACAAGGTCACGTGAGCACTCTCAAAATGGAATGGGGAACATGTACATGACTCCCCAGTTAAGCGGATAGTGTTTGGAGTTAAATGTGAACATTTATACTCTGCCTACCTTTATCATAGCTTTCCATTATCCACTAGTTCCTTATTCATATTTACTGAACACCTATTAAGTGCCCAGGCACTGGCTATTTTTACATTTATGTCATTTTACAGAAAGCCCTGGCAAAGAAATATTAGATAACTTGGCCTTGTTTCTATAGCTAGTGACTGGAAGAAACAGAGACTCAGTCCAGGCAGCCTGACTCCAGAACCTCTATGCTATCCTGCCTCTTGTGAAAGTCAGATCCCTTTATAAGAACAACTAAGTGATATGTATTGAGTACTTATTCGGTGGCAGGTACTTTACAGGCTGGATCTTCTTTAAATCTCACAGTAAACCTATGAACTATGTGCTACTTCTTATCCTAATTTTATACTTTAAGAAATTAAGATTCAGAAAGGTTAAATGATTTGCCTAAATTTACAAAAGCAGAAAAAAAAAAAGAGTAAGGATTAAACTTTGATCTGTATGAGGCCCAAGTTTATGCTTTTAACCACCGTGTCATACCATCTCTTAAGAGATGAAATTCTTTGTTAATCTCTTCCTTTCAAGAGATAGAAATTAACTACCCTTCCTTTTATTTGGGCTTGATTCAGACATACTGTTAAGAAATAGAATAGACTTGTACACCAATTTTCATAACAGCATTATTTTCCATCACAAGAACATAGAAACAGTCCAAATGTGCAACCACAGTCAATGGCTTGATAAATTATAGAACATTCACATGATGGAATACTGCATAGCACAAAAGAGCAATGATTTTGTAAATCACTACCTAAACTGGGAGGAACTGAAAAACATTATGCTAAGTGAACTAACTCAGTTTTATAAAGACAAATCCTGTATAAGACCATTGTCATAGAAATAGATAACTAGTAAAACGTGTTTGAGGATCTGGGGTGGGGGAGCAGAGGAGTGAGGGTGGGTGGGGATGGGATGGGGGTTGGTAATCATAGGGTTGCACAATTTGATGAGTGAAGGGAGGGATGCGTAAAGG